CAACGTGATCCGTAGCCGGGAAGACAAGAGCAAAGAAGAAGCCATGAAGAAAGAACTTCAAGAGCTGGGTGCAGACGTCGTCATTACGGATGCAGAATTACAATCCCAGGGCATCAAGGATCAGGCCAAAGAATGGACGAATGGCGGTCGCGCACCCATCCGCTTGGCACTGAACTGCGTGAACGGAAAGGCCGCTACCGCAATGGCCAAACTACTTTCTTCCTCTTCGCACTTCGTTACCTACGGCGCCATGTCGAAGCAGCCTTTGACTATTCCCGCGTCGATGCTCATCTTCAAGGACATTCACTTCCACGGCTTTTGGGTAAGCAGGTGGGCGGAGAAGCATCCTGAGGAGAAGCAGAAGACGGTTGCTGATGTACTGGATATGACACGCAAGGGCGAGTTTAGAGACATGCCTGTTGACGAGATCAAGTGGGAGTGGGACACCAAGGGTGATGAGTTGATTGGTAAGGTTAAGGATACTCTGGAAGGATACAGGGACGGCAAGGGGATTTTCGTGTTTGGTAAGACGTAGACTTTGCAATTTCCAGAGCTATATACGTTCTATGGCATATGTACATCTTTCAAGTCGTGGATTCGTGAGACCGTGGTATTATCCATGACCCTCTATTGCAAGAACGCTCTTGATCCATTGTTAGGTAAAGGTGCCCTAAACAGCACGAAGGGTCTCACTCTATCGTCCGTACCAGGATAGAACGACGAACTGAAAGCAAGCTGGTTGTCGGTGAAGTAAAGATAGCCATCGCTTCCAACGGACACTGTAACACGTCAGTTTCTCATCCAGACATCACCAGCAAAATGGAAGCAAGACTTACTAGTATCCACCCAACTGATCCTCGGGTCCCTCACAAACAACGTCATAGACGCATTCTTCGGGTTATGAAACCCAATCTCATTCTGCTCCATGTTCCCCGCGTAGATGAAGCCATTCGTATCCGTCTCAAACCCATCGCTCACACCCCTCTCACCCCGGTTGTTCACCGCACCCAGCGCCAAAAGCTCAGACGCTTGGCTGCGGTCCCGCAGACGCTCAGTGGGAATACTGTACAGAGTGCGTCCACCAACAGGGCCAAAGTACAAGTGCTCTCCATCAGCAGATAACGCAATACCATCACTTCCCAGCGGGACTGTGGTAAGCGGCAGACCAGGGCCGGGGATGTAGTATTTCGGTTCGCCCCAGACATATGGCACGAATCCACGCTCTGCTCGCGACTCTTGTGCGCCGTCGAGGTGGCGCCAGCTCTCGCCTGTGCCTAGATCTACAATGACGATGCCATTGCGACCCTCGGATGAGGAGTCGGTGATGTAAGCGACTCCCTTTCCAGATTCAGTGATGTGAGGACGCAGGTCGAAGCGCACGTCATTGAGGTATGAGTCTGGATACGCGACTGTGGGTGGGAAAACGATAGTTTGAATGACCGTGTCGGATTCAATGTCTACGCCAACGAGCTTAGGGCCACCGGTGGATGCCAGAACGAGGGTACCTTCTTCAGTTAATGCGCGGCCTGTGTCTAGGATCCAGAGTCGGTCGAGGGGGTCGAGGACGACGCTTTGAACGCCGATGAGGTAGTTTTGGTAGTTTGCACCTGTTGGTGGGGTGGTCGTGTAGTTGATGGCTCCGTTCGGCGGGTTGTTAATCTCGACACTTGGGTACGGTGTCTCGGTGCCGTTGGCGGTGAGCTCTGCTACGGCATGTCTGTTGTTGGTGCCTGTGTTGGTGTTGTTGGGATCGAGACCTGCTGGGTAGTTTGAGAATTTACGACCGCCTTTTGAGACGGTGATACCTGGGATTGGTGTTAGTCGTTGTGCATTCGTGAGTCTGGTACGGCGTGTTGGTACCGGTAGGCCATTGATCGTTGTAGAGATGAACGATTTCAAGAGGTGGGCCGGCAACACCGGGGTCAGAACGAATGCGCTGTGCGCTGGAAAGCGCAGGAAGCAGAGCGCTCAGTGTTAACACAGAAAGAGGCAGCATGTTGTACGCGACGACAATCTAATGGTGGGTATCAAGAACGGTGGCATGATGCTTGACATGGTGGCTTATATAGCTTCGAGCACGCAAGCGCGAACTGTAAACATTACCTCAGAAGGTACCTGGACGTCAGTTTGCGGCTCGGCGTTCTTAGTCTTCAACGTCATCAACATGTCAGGTACCAGGATAAAATTGAGGAGCTATTGACCTCGGGACGATCTGATGTGATTTGAGGCTGCACGTAGGGAAGCTATCCGCTTGTGGCCAAGTTTGTCGGCGGCTCACCCCGCTTCTGCTGGGTGCAGGTGTGATGCAACGCCATTGGCGCTATGTAATGCACGTTGCAGATGGTAATAGTTCCGCCTGATCTGATATGATTTCTTACGGAAGTACATTCACTACTTTTTCTCCCGACGTTGTCTAACCAACCCACTCCTTGATGACTTCTTTCAGAGAAGCATTATCGCCTGTCTCATTCCAAGTATGCGAATGCTCACCGTCTTCTGCTTCCGATGTTGCATCAATCGCAAGCACAGTTACCTTTAGCTCTCCGTCATTGAGGTCAACTCTGATGTCCCTTGTAGACTTCGTGCCTTTCTTGGTTTCCCTGCTTTGACGAATCGAGAGCCGTGGATTCTGAGTTCTCGTCTGCGCACGCGAGGCATACTCACTCTTCAAAAGTCTATGCGCAATATGTAGGGACAGGATCCAGTCCAGATATGACTTCAGCTCCTCGACGGTAGCAAATTTATGCTGCTGGAACAAGCCAAGATCGGAACTCAGAGTGGATGGAAGGGTCAGCTTGTGCTCTGTGCCAAACGTCGGTTGGCCGATGATCGTGCGTGTAACGATGATCAGACTCTCTGGTTGTGTGCCATTTGGGGTGGGTATGGTCAAAGTCGCTTTTCCATCGAACGGCTTCATGAAAATTTCAAGCAGCTGATCGGTTGCGGACATGCCTTTCTTCGGTGTCGTCTTCAAACTCTCCGAAAGGTTCGCCCAAGACGTCTCACGCGTAGTGTCCAGGCTCGCATCCAGGCCTGCGTTGTTCAGTGTTTTGGCGACGACACCAAGATAGACGTAGAGCGAGTCGACACCTGCAATGTGATTCGATACGGCAAGAAGCGTGCGCAGCAAAGGTGGAGGAGGCTTATCCCGCTTTTGGCCTGTCAAGGGAGGTGGAAGCTGCGATCTCCTATAGAGACGCATGCTGTGCTCATGGGCTAGGAGCAGTCGGAGCGCCTCGGCGATGTTGCGAGCCAGCCAATCGTACTCATGCCCTTGGTTGCTCGCTATAGGATCGTCCCGGGGTACGCAATCGATGAGCAGCTTTCGATCTTGCGATGCATTGCCCATGCTAGGCACGTCTATCTGAATGACAGAATCCCGAAACTCAACACCGTAGGCTCGCAGTTGCCGAGTTTCGAGACTCATTTCATAGTACAGTTCTTCCTCTAGTAATGAATCACGGGCATGTTGTATAGACTTTTCCAGAGACTGAGCGGAGTTTTCGCCGTCGAGAGGGAGTTGTGATGTGCCTGTCATTTTGCCATTGACACTGATTCGCACGCGGAATGTCTTTGGTTTGAGCGCGAGACTCGGATCGAGAATGATGCTGCCGTCCTTGTCCATCTGAAGAGGGGCAAAGCCACGCGCTTTAAAATGGCCGCTTGCTGATAAATTGTTAGCTTGAGGAAAGCGACGCGACGAATGAGCAGTCTTTACCTTCGGGAAGTCCATAACGCACGGCAAAGGGCGAATGGCGTACATTCTGGCGCAGTCGCTGAATGGGCCATCCCTTGTCGGAGACGGACACTATCTCATGCCAGTACTTCGTCTCTCGCCGTATCTCCTTCTCCAAGTGTTTTGCGGCCTTCAATATTTCGTCCACCGAGGAGTCGAGCGCCCCCATGCGTGCTCCCTGGGCAGCTATCTCTTGTTTCGAGGCGAGATCTTGGAGCCGTTGTACTTCGTCTGGCTTACGAGTGCGATGTTCGTGGTTTTCCTTGCTCATGCCGAAAGAGCCGAGTGGTATGCCCTGGTTCAGGCCTTGCTCTCGAAACGTCGGGCTGAAGAAGTTGAGGGCGCGCTTGTTGGGGTCTTGGGAGAGTATGAGGGAAACGAGATCGAGCGCGTTGGTAGCAGCGAATTTAGCCCATCTGTCTTTGGTCAATATGAACCCCCGTACAACGCGATCGCGTTCAGACGTACTCCAGATGACTATACATCTCCTGCCCGGCTTTGAACACCTTCTCTAGCTGCTCCTGCCGCGAAGGTGCCTCCTTTTCCTTCTTTTCCTTATCAGCTCCCTCCGCAGCGTCATCCGGTACATCTTTGCCCGCGTCAATGTCCTCCTGTAGCGACTGTTCGGTGATGTTGCGCAAATGCCCGCGTTCGCTCGCTAGCTGCTCGATCTTGAACAGCAGGTCATCCTGCGTCAGCTCCTCCTTCTTTGGGGCCGGCCATGGGCGCAGGGCCACGTCGTTCAGTGATGAGTCCATCTGGACTGCGACTCTGGAGGCAGCCGGGTAGCTTGGGTGAAGCTGGCTGGGTTCCTGTGGTTTGTCCGACACGGTGGGCCCTTGCATAAAAGCCGTCCCCCAGTAGCGGCCGTTGCAGATCGCCGCTTATCGATTGCGGCTTCACCCATGCAACCCACGAATGGCACACGTTGCACGCGCAATCGTGGATCAAAAGCAAGGTAGCTGTAGCTTTGGAGAGGGGGAACAAGCAGCTTACAGGTGTTAGTGTACCGTCGCGCGGGGATGTCACCGGGTCACATGTGCATGGCCCCTTCCCTCTCCAGCCACTAACGGCGGTCTCCGATAAGCTTGGACAGACAGCTTAGGTTACAGTGACAACTCAGTCACAGTGTCCTTCACTTCTCCTCATTCCTCCTTCACCGATTGAGACTTTGCAAGATGACTACCAGATACCGCGTAGAATGTAAGTCCCAACCACGGCTACAGTCCCCAAAGGTCGACTCAGAGACAAGACCGCTGACTTGATGGTTTCCCGTGTGGCAGATGCCCTCAAGGTGTGTACAAGTTACAGTGACAACCATCTACCTTCAAATAACTGACATATCCCAAAAGACCCACAGGAGAGACCAGCTCGTAAGTATCCTGTGATACCCATCCAGAGTGCCTAGCTAATGCAGGATACAGATAGAGTGGATCAAGGTAATTATCTCTCTGCTTGCTAGAGGACACGAGCTACGTACTTATACTATCTCAGGGTCTACTAGCCGTTCCTTTCGTCTTACACTCCCATCCAACAGCAGTATTCGAGCCCAGCGATGAGTCAGTCGAGCACCAAGCCAACATCGCTCAACGGCGGTATGCCGAGATCCTGCGCGACGTTGAAGAGATCATCAACGACCACAGTATGTCATGAAGCCATTGAAGCCGCGCGAGGCCGGGCGGTCCACGGTGAAATCGCAGGGCTAACGCAACTTAGTCCAACACCAGAAAGACGGCAAACCCGACAGATCAAAGTTGAAGCTTCTCGTTCCAACAGTAGCGAACTTCTTCACGTCCTTAGCATTGCATGACGCTTTCATCTGGCAAGATCAGCGGCGCTTCATCAGCCACCGACGTTTCGTCCCCCCTTCTTTCAACGATGTGCGTCTAGTTCTCAACACAGCCCAAGTAATGAGTCTCATCCGCAACGGTCCCCTCGAACTCGTGACGTTTGACGGAGATGTCACTTTGTATGACGACGGCAAAGACTTGACAGAAGACAACCCGATCATTCCCAAGATTCTGCAGCTCATGCGTCGTGGATCAAAGATTGGCATTGTCACAGCCGCAGGGTACACAGAGGCGAAGCCATACTATGGCAGACTTTACGGGCTTCTAGACGCCATCCAGGCATCCGATCTGCCCCTAGAGGCTCGACAGAATCTGATCATCATGGGCGGTGAAAGTAATTTCTGTTTCAAGTTCGACGAGAACAGTCCAGTTCTACTGCGCCTGATTCCCAGAGAAGAATGGCTGCTTAAGGAGATGCTTTCGTGGACTGAGTCGGACATCAAGGACCTGCTTGACTTGGCGGAAGTGTCTTTGAGGGACACTGTCAAAAACTTCCGCATGGAGGCAAATGTCGTCCGGAAGGAAAGAGCGGTTGGTATTGTACCAAAGGACGGGCACAAATTCTGCCGAGAGACACTGGAAGAAACCGTTTTGATCGTGCAGAAGATACTCGTAGGTTTGAGACCATGTGCAATGCTTGCAATGCTGACGTGGCTAGGAAATATCCGAGGTCGGCCAGCGTCTCCCCTTTTGCGCGTTCAACGGCGGAAACGACGTATTCGTCGACATCGGAGATAAGTCCTGGGGTGTCCTTGCCTGTCAGCGGATCTTCGGCGGGATTGAGGGCAGCAAAACATTGCACGTTGGCGACCAGTTCTTGAGTGCTGGGGCGAACGACTTCAAGGCTCGGTTGGCATGTACGACGGCGTGGATCGCGAATCCGCAAGAGACGTGCCAACTGCTCGATGAGATTACCGAATTGGACGAGGTGCATCAGCGAAAGACAAGATAAGAGTGGCCCGGATCAGGTTGTGCATAGCGATGACATCAGGGTGCTTCGGAAGCTACGGCAATAGGGGTCGTCCATGTGGCGGATAAACTTTGGAGGGGTACACGGCTGCAGTGCGTGTTTGAAGCATGTCGCAGCGAGAGGAATATGGGCCTAGATAGCCGTTGAAGATCACAGAAAGGGTCTCAATCAAATCGATATGCGGAGGCAGATGGCGACATGCGATGCGCGTCCGGCACGGCTCTCCTGCATTATGCCTTGACGCTGACTCGGGTGGCTGACCCACTGCATTCTCTGGTACAATTGTCGCGCTAGAAGCTCGAAGGTGACGCGCTGCAGGCACGCATTCATGCAGCGCTGCACGACGGTTGCTGACGCGCGCGTGTTTGGCTCACGTCTTGTTCCTTTTGAAGTCGGGGCAGCAGGCAGGGCGTGTCCCTGGGGAAGGTCGAGGCTGGCGCGCCGTATCCGCAGCGCCTCTGGGTGGTGCAGGGCGCTGATCCCTGCTAACCGTCGTGTAATCCCTGGCCCGTACTCCGCTTCACGAAAGCACCTCCTGAGCTTCCACCCGCCTGCGGCTTCTGCGAGACTCTCTCATCTGCTGCCGCGTCGCTCCCAGCCTTCAATTGCCTCCACTCCACCACAACTTGGGTTTATTGATCGCCCACCGCAATTTACCACACGAGTCTCCCACCACGACACTGCAATGGGCTCCAACAAGTTCTCCTTCAAGCCACTGACGCTTTCGCCCATCAACTTCTCTCTGACCGAGGGCACGTCGATACCCGCGCCGCTCGACAGCCCGCCCGAGTCACCTCGCCCGCCCACGCCTGGAAAAGGCCCACTGTCGTCGCATCCCACCCCAAAGTCGCCTGGCTCCCCGCCGCAGACAGAGTCGCCGCCGCCAGGCAAAGCGTCAGAGGACTCGGCTGATGGCCACCTCCAGCAGAGCCGCACCAGCGATGCGACCAGCGCCATGTCCCCCACGAGCCCTTCGAGCAAGCGGCCTGCATCCGTCCGCAAGTTCCTCGGCATTCGAACGCTGTCGTCCAACGACAGCTTGAAGTCGGACCAGAGGCCGGGCTCGCCGGCTACAATCAACAGCCAAGCGCCCAGTCTCAGCAGGAGGAAGAGCGGCAGCTGGTTCGGCAAGAGGAAGACATTCATCTCCGGATCTGTTCCAGAAGGCACTGTGGATTCCACGACCTACTCGAACGGTCGCACCGTCTCTCAACCTGCCGTACAGGCTGCGCAACCACCCAAGCCCAAGGGCCCACCGCCTCCAGCTCTGCCCGGCCTGAGCTCCTTCGGTGTCAACGAAGACACGCTGAGTCTCGGCGCCGATGACATGTTCAAGAACATAGGAAAGGCAGACGCCCCAAAGTCGACACGGTGGTAGACGCATAAAACACACTTTCAACGGGGGCATGTTGACGATGCATTTCTAACGGGTTTCGAGTTTAATGTCCTTATTGTTTATACCTTTCACGGGCCACAGGTTGGAGTTTTGAAAATTTGTGGCATCATTATTTTGGCTTGCATGTGCACAACGATACCCCAGTCGATACAGTATAGCGATGAAGTGGCACGTATGAGTGCGTCCGAGATGAGATCTTGTGGCGACTGGGGAGGACGACGGGGTTGGCAGCCTTCCTTTACTCTGGCTTTACATATCACTACCTGCTAGCGTTCCCTTCAACAGTGCGTCTTTGGCCGTGGCATCTCTCGCTGCCGGTCGCTATAAATAAACACTCTTACCTTACTACCGCCTCCACCTGCCTCGTATTCGAGATAATCAGACGTCAACAATGCAAGATACGTACCCCACGTGGCGCGGACCAGGCGCGTTGCTGCGGTGGGCTAGCGCGAAACCCTGATCACAACAAACATTGCATAGGCGGGTGCGGGTGCATCAACACCAGCCCTACCCCCCTCGGCCTCCCGCCTTGCTGACCCGCGACGTCGCGAACAGACCGACAAGCGCTGCATAATTGTCACAACACATACTATGGCCGACCCGGGAATGTTCTCGGTCCGCCGTCAGGTCAGTATCGTGTGCGACCCCCTCTCGTCGCATCTCCTAACCACGCGCGCAGACTCTAGGACCAGTAAACAACAACTCCTCCGCGATTCCCATGCCCGCTTCCGCCATGAAGCGCTCGAGCTCCATCAACAACATGAACCAACCCCAATTCCCTCCGAACCATGCCCGGTCGAAGAGTGGGAGTAGAATGTCCCTCGCGCCCGGTCGCCCGAGCCAGCCGCTCTTCCCACGCTCATCCTCCGGAACAGACCTTGCGCAAGGCTTCCAGTCAGTACATCGCAACTCGACGAGCAACTTCGGCGCAAGCAGTGCGCGCAAGAGTTTTGCGCCTGGCGCCTCCATATTCCAGACACCCGCTCCCCCTTCCGGGCCGAACTTTGAGCAGAGCGCACAACGGCGGAGCAGCGTGTTCAAATCGCGAGCCTCGCATGTAACTGGACAATCTGGTGTGAAACAATCCTTCTTCCAACAGGCGCCCATGCCATCCGTCCCCCCTACGGACCCGCGCCGACTCAAAGATGCGAGCACCCGTCAGCACATGGCTCAGGAGCTGCTCGAGTTCCTGACCCAAAACAACTTTGAGATGGAATCGAAACATGTCCTCTCGGCAAAAGCCATGACTTCGCCAACGCAGAAGGACTTCAACTGCATGTTCCAATGGCTCTACAACCGCATTGATCCCAGCTATCGCTTCCAGAAATCAATTGATCAGGAGGTGCCAGTACTGCTGAAGCAGATGCGCTACCCTTTTGAGAAGTCGATCATGAAGTCCCAGATCGCGGCTGTTGGCGGAAACAACTGGTACACATTCTTGGGTCTTTTGCACTGGATGATGCAATTGGCACGCCTGATGCAGGCTTACGAGGCCGGTACATACGACGACGCTTGCTTTGAGGCTGGCTTCGACGTCTCTGGAGACCGCATCATCTTTGACTTCTTGTCAGACGCCTACAGCACTTGGCTTTCCGCAGAAGATGACGATGACGATGAAGAGGCACAGAAGAAGCACATGGAGCCTCATATCCGGACAATGGCCGCCAAGTTCGACGCCGCCAATGCCCAGCATCACGAGCAGGTCTCCCTCCTTGAGGCCGAGCACAAATACCTACAGGATCAGATCGAAGAACTAGGAAAGTCCGGCCCCCGGATCCAAAAGCTGGAGGAGCAGATCCGCATCCTCGAAGAAGATCGTGTCAAGTTTGAGAACTACAACAACTCCATGGACGCTAAGGTCAAGAAGTACAGTGACCGCTGCTCATTCCTAGAGAAGTCCATTGAAGAGATTGAGGCTGAACTTGAGGCCTCAGAGAAGGAGCAGCAAGAGCTCCAAGCTATCATTGACGGTCGAGGCATGACCATTGCGGATATCGACCGTATGGCAAATGAAAGAGACCGCCTTGATACTTCTCTCCAAGCAACGACAGTCCGCTTGGAGGAGTCCAAGAAGCGGGTTGCAGAGAAGGAAATCGCTGCATCTCGCAAATTGGATGAACTCGAACAAACAATGGAGCGGTACAACAATCTGGGCTACCAGATCGGCGTCATCCCTTCTACGGCCGTCAACGCCAAGGGGCAAGACTATGAACTTGTCCTCACTATCACAGATGGCCCCAACTTCTCAGGGTCACAAATGGGTGGCTCGTCACAAGACGCATCAGACCGTCTTCTGCACGACGCAGGCACAGGGTACTCGCCAGCACATCTCCTCAACCTGGACCTCCGTGGTACAGTCAAAGCCAACATAATTGCACTCCGCAAAGAGATTGCCGAACGACGCAACCAAGCCCTAGAAGCCGACATGAACAACCACGATCTCCTCGACAAGATCAAAGAAGCCATGGACGACAAGCAAGCCGAAGTCGAAGCTCTCGGTCACCGCGTAGCTCAAGCAGAGGAGGAGCTAGAAAAGCTCCGCGAAATAACAAATACGCAAAAGAGCCAATCTGACGCACAGATTGAGCGAATGGAGAAGGAATTGGGCCGCATGCGTAGCGGTCTGGGAGAAAGCGTACAACTCATGGTACAACGAGAGATGGCCGTCAACATCGAGTAAGACCTTCAGCCCTAAACCTCCGTACCCAGCATACAGTAAAGCTAACAGCACTAATCAGGTACGAACAACTCCAACTCCGCGCCAACGCCCTCCGCGAAGAACTCCACACCGAAATCGAGCGCATGCTTGACGACATCGTGCGCTTCAAACTCCACGTACAGAAGAGTTTGGAGGAGTACGAGCAGTTCATCGCTGATGAAGTGGAGCGTAGCTGTGAAGAGCAGGATATGCTCGCCGAGGGTGAGGACGAGGACATGGTCGAGGAGGCGTGAAACACGTCGCCGAAACCGTGATTGATATGAGCGACGGGTTAACGAGTTGGCTATGAGCTTATGATGGAGTTTCTGGTGCTGGATACCACGCTGATGTTGTTGATTGGGTGTTTGCAAAGGGACCTTTTTGGGAGGGTTGTTTTTACGGATACCTTTCTGAGATACCTCTTGGCTTTTTTGTTTAGCTTATTCGATTGTTCGTTGTTTACGATTATATATGTAAATCTGAGTACCTTTGCATATCTCCATATCTCTTCTTCGTACAATATATGGGTTGTACATACCCTTCTCATTACCCATCCCCTCAATCTCCCAATACATACATTCACTACCCCCCAATCAAACCCCTCCCACTCGTCATCATCATATTACTCAACAGCTCCACCTGACTCTTCAGCGCCGCCATCTCCGTAGTCTTATCCTTGATCTCCTTTGCCCTCTCCGCCAACTCCGTCGTCTTCTCTTTGACCTGCTTCGTCCGCTCCGTCAACATGCGTCTTAGCTCTGCATTTTCCCGCCTTAGCTGATCAACTTCTATATCAACGGCCTCGGGGGGATTCAGTGGTGGCGGACAGCGATTGTCCAGTGTGGGGTCGATGCGTGAATCTTTTCGGACGAGTGGGAAGGGCGCGGGCGGTTTGAGGGTGTGGGAGGTGGGGTGTTGGTATGTGTTTTGCTGGTGGGGAGCGGGTCGTTGGGCTGATTGAGAAGTACTGGTGTCAGCGTTGAGTTGGGCGGTATCGTGGATATCGACTTCGGCTTCACCCTCAGCCTCGTCGTCTGAGCTATTGAGACCGTCGCCGACTTGTTGGCCTGCTGCTTTCCGGGCTCTCTTGATCTGCGCTCGTATGTTGTAAACGTCACGCTTAAAGATGTGTATACCCGGTAGTCTTGCTTGTAGCACTTCGACTGTTCTTCCAACCCCTCGGTCGCGGCCCTGGTTCGGTTCACCCTTTCGTAGCATCTCTTGTTCGACGATCCTCCACACGAGACCTCCACGCTCGAGGCTGTGTTGGGGCTTCTTCGGTGCCTGTGTAGGTGCGCTGGTTGTGTCTTCGTCGCCGTCGGCTTCCGCGTCCACGTCTTCGAGGGTTTCCTGATTTTGCGTCAGGCTCGACTTAGCGAGTTCCTCTTTCGCTGTGACGCCTCCAACCCCGATGCGCCCTCCTACTACACCCCAAGTCCTCTTCCGTTGTACAGCCCATCCGGCACTCTCGCGCCCGGGGTGGTTGTGCTGTGGTTCGCCCACGCGCAAGAGCCACGTGCCGTCGTCCTGTTTCTTGCCCTCGATCCACATCTTGCATCCTGTCTTATAGCTGACCCTGTTCTTCCTGACTCTCGTCTCGGCCGTAAGCTTGTGTGTATTCTTCGGCTGGCCGTAGCAGACGCAGGCGAGTTTGATGCGCGACCGGTTTTTAGCCGTCGTATTGATAGATAGCGCATATCCGTTTTCGGCGGCGTGCGACTGCGCGTAATCGTGGAGGGATTGCCACGAAGGGTGTATCGAGTTGGAAGGCGGAAGCATAGCGAACTGGCGGTCAGACGCGTCATTGTCTAGGGGTGCTTGTGCCGAATTGTGCTGGATGCCAATGTAAGATGCTTCGGACGTAGGGCTGTGGATCCTGTAGTCGTGATGTTGGCCGGCTAAGCCATGCTGAAAGCTCTCGCGCTTTCCAGACGTGTCGTCTGGGGAGTAGCTGTGATCGTGCTGTTGCCCGTGGTCGTTCATACTGGCAGCATGGTGGGCGTTGGCGGTGGTAGGCTCGCAATAGGCTGCCATGTTGCTGTGGCGGGCTGCGACATGATGATGCGACGCGGCATAGGCATCGTAAGGCGGCTGTTGGTTCGCGATGGCGTTACCGTGATTGTACGTGGGGACTTGGTCGAAGTTGTGATGGCGGGCGAAGGTGGCTGCCATGGTTGGTTTGATATGGAGCGCTCTCGCCATGTTCCGGATTACTTCAGCCACGGCCGTTTGTCGCTGTTGGAGATATCCGTCAAGTCTGCGCACATGGCGATTATCTCCAGAATATGAGCTATGCGACTTTGGTCAATGCTGCCATATTTGGGTGGAGAGGTCCCAGGCTCAGACATATTCGTCGCTGGTACGTCGCTGTCTGCGCTTCAGCCGATTGGCTGCTCGGAACTCGAGCATCAATGTTGCCCTCACAACCAAGCAAAGCAAAACGCGTCAGAACATCATTCTACTATCATTTTGACTACACCAGACGAGGCGTGCGACGGATGCGCCCATCGCATATTTAATATACCCCACGGAGACCACAGTAGCCTTACTCTCTTAAGGTGACATCCACCCACATGTCCTTGATCTCCCATAACCCAAGCGAGTTGAACGTCTTCCATGGTTCCAGCGGGTTGGTCAACGACAGATCAAAGTGCCTCAACAACTCAAAGATGCACTTGTGTATCTCAATCAACGCGATGTTGCGTCCCAGGCAGAGCCATCGACCGTACCCAAATATCATATCGTTGGTTTTCGTCATTTTGGTTAGACGGTCTTTCGCCTCCTCATCGCTTGTATCAATCAGCCAGCGTTCAGGACGGAAGGTACCACAGTCCTCGCCGTAGAGAGCGCGGTTGTTGCGGTGCATCGTCCAGGCTGAGTAGCCGACCAAGGTGCCGCCGGGGATGTGATACTCCTTGTTGTCGATAGTCACGACATCTCCTTCATCCGGAGTGACTCTTGAGAAAATGTTGGCAACTGGTGGATGTATCTGCAGGGTATACTGTTAGCGCATACTGGCTCAAAAACCCATGTCCTTTCCAGAAAGGACAAGACTTACTCGCATTCCTTCACGGACGACAGCGCCTAAATATGGCAGGCGGCGCACTTCTGCATCTGAGATGATGCCAGGAGATGCGGGAGCCGTGCCGTTTCTGACAGCGTCATCTATCTCAGATTGCAGCTTTGCATACACCCGCGGATGGCTCATGATATAAAGCAGAATAGTCCGAATGGCAGCAGCCGTAGTGTCAGACCCAGCGAGAATCTGCTCGAAAACTTCTTGGACTGAGGATGGTGGGTCAGTCGACGCCTAGAATCATTGGTTACAACACTCATGTCACTTACAAAGATCGTTTCCCGAGAGACCATGGCGGACGAATGATGCGAACATATCAGACTTATCTTCAGTCGACTTCAACATCCTGGAGTCGACTATCTTTCGTGCTTGAGCCATCATGTTACCGAACCCAGTGGCATCCTTCTCCGATGGACTGATGGCGGGGCCAATGATGGGCGTGTCTCTGAGCCAGGCTATACCCATTGCGAAGGCCGTGTTTCCAATCTTGAGACCCTCTTCGCTCGATTTCAGGTAGTCTTTGAGGTCTTTGTCGGCATTCAAGTCACCGAATGCTTCTCCCAGACCTACGTGACTGATTACGTCCAATGTAAAGAAGGGGATCTTCTGAGCTAGATCCATGGCCTGGGATGGTTTCGTTGACGCTTTCGAGGCCGCATACTTGCGCACCAAATTCACAAGTTCTTTCACATGGATGTCTATTGAAGGCTCTAGTGTTGGATTCTCTTTACCAGAATACTGCAATACGTTAGTAAGTGCAGATCGGTCACGCAGCTGCTCAAATTTCCGCTAGAGGTGCGCAACCTCATCATCCAGATTGTGTATCCACGTACCCCGGCTGTCATCTTCTTCCGTCTGGCATCATGGCTATCGTTGTCGCAATCTGTAAAGACATTGTCTTTCCCCGTCTCAAACCGAGCACTATGGTAGTACCATGATGATCGCTTATACGGTGAGCGCACTGCATTGATCCGTGCCCAGTATTCTGGGTCTGATGTTATGAGGTGGTTCGGTGCGATCCTGGCAATCGGCCCTTATGAGGAGTATCAGTATAAGGCCGCCAGATCGCGTAGCACTTTTGCCTTCCTGACACGTACCGTACTTCTCGCAAACCTCGCCGTAGTACCTAGGAGATTGGCCACCGATAACAGCTTTGGAATGCCACAGCCAAGAGAATCCCGTCGTCCTGGGTCCGGCGAAATGTCTCAGACGCAAGTACTGTCGTATGCGGCCGATAGCGAAGAACGCCACAGCGACGAATGCGATGGCGTACAGGCGCTGTGAGACGCTGTCAAGCAATGACTCGGGCGGAACAGACTCCATGGCTTGCCTGAAGTGATGTCAGAGCGCAAGGATTTGAAGTTGCAAATGATGAATGGGAGTTCTTCCCATCAGTGGGGCAACCCTTCCTGAAAGCGCGGGCGCCGTTGTGCGCTACAGAAACTAGCGGAGAGCGTTGCTGCAAGCTCCTATTGAACCATTGTTACTGGCCCTGATCGGTCAAGCACCAATTTGGAGGATTGGAGAAGATGCGGAGCTCGCAGCTGCATGGTGACCAAGCCATGTGTTGTCCATACCTTCCTCGGTGCGCCCCACCAACGAGCAACGTTTGACGGAAGTCATGGCGACATCTGGAACCAAGTCCAATCCCTCACAGAGGATAGCGGGAACCGGAGTGGTTTGCAAGCGCCGCGGCACGTCAAGACTACTTGCGCTAGCGTCGTGTCGTTGATTGTCAAGGTTCCCCAGCTGGGCGATTGAGGCACGCAACAAGCTGATAGGGCAAGTTAGTACAGCAGCAATGCAGCGTCAAGTGACTCAAGTCTCATCTTACACGAAGCAGTAACCGACTCTTGATGTTTTCGCAATCAAATCTCATCCGATCGCGAAACTTACTCCAGCGAATCATTCGGTGGAGAACACTCCGGTCGAAAACAGGCTACGATGCGTCGTGTCGAGCCTGCAGGAAGCTCCCGCGATCTCGGTCCACAACCACGTTTTTGCCCTTGTATGCACGTTGGTGTGAAGCATTTCGGACCTCAGCGCCAGTTTGTTCTAGCCCTGTGGAGAGGCGCAGTTTATTCATGTTACTGTCTGGGCAGGGTCTTCGTGACGGCACCTGCCGTTATTAACCACTCCTTCTTCTCTTAGTTGTCGTCTTGAACTTTTCCGAACTTTTTCCGCCCGTCTGAAGTCATTCGAGACCCATCAAACGACGTCATAGTGGTTTTTGTATACTCGCTTATCTATTTGCCCCATTTCGTTCCGTGCCGTTGCTGTACGATTGAGGCACAGTCGCGGCTATTGTCACTGACATTGATAGCCGCGCTAACAGCCGCTCGAAGAACACTTGAGACATACAAAACTTGTGCCGGCCAGTTTGCCATCAGCCAAGTTATTCAGCTTACAGAGTGAAACACAATCTCTACGATGGCAACTCTTGGAAAAGGAAAAGAGAAGGCAATTGAGGGCGAGTCAACAACAGCATCATCTAATAATACAATTTCTGGAGATGACCCCACGAACGTTGCGCCACAAAATGCTAGGGCATCATCACCGCTGAAAGACCTTACTGCATCATCTAACGCACCAGAAGAGGCGACCACCTCAACAGATCCAGCGGAAGCATCTGCTGGTCAAGCAATCCCAATAGGGCTTCCCTCAGAAACAGTGGAAGGCCCTGCACCAACAGCGGAAGTTGTCAATCCACTTGTGTTAGTTGTAAGTATACCAAACTTGCCTTCACAGAGTTTGATCATTCAGACATGATGCGCCGCGGAACAAACGTTGCGACTCAGTATTTCTCAAGAAGCTTCTAACATCAGCAGGATAGTACAGACGCCGACTCGGCTCTAGGCGACGACGACGCTGCAAGCGACACAACCTCCATCGCTTCAACCATACATAAAGGTCGTTTCGAAAACGGCCGCCGTTACCACAAGTACCGTGAGGGCGAAAATGATTACTGGGGCCCCAACGATGAGATCCAGAATGATCAACTCGACATTGCGCATCATATGTTTCTGATCATGTTGAACCAGAAGCTGCATCTGGCACCTATCAAAGAGCCAAAGAAGGTGTTGGATCTTGGGTGCGGAACAGGGATTTGGTGTATGGACATGGCCGACGGTATGTCTCTTACTCCATCTCTTGAATGCCATAACTAACTTATTACCCAGAGTACCCCGGCGCCGAGATCCTCGGCGTAGACCTCTCCCCCATCCAACCGCAATTCACCCCTCCCAACTGCAAATTCGAAATCGACGACGTGACTCTCCCATGGACATATACCCAGCCCTTCGACTTCATCAACATCCGCTCCTTATACGGCTCCATCGGCGACTGGCCAGCACTCTACACACAAGTCTATGACAACCTCGAGCCAGGCGGCTACCTCCACGAAATGGAAATGAGCATCCAGTTCAAATCCGACGATGGCACGTTGACCAAAGAGCACGTCTTGTCTCAGTGGAGCGATCTCTTCCATGAAGCATCTGAGCGTTTTGGTAAGTCGTTCTACGAGGTTTGGAATTTGTCGACGTATATTCGTAACGCGGGTTTCAAGGATGTCGAAGAGCGAGTGTACAAGGTTCCTGTCAATGGGTGGCCGGCAGACCCCCATATGAAAGAGTTGGGAAGGTGGAATTTGCTGCATATCACTCAAGGAGCGGAGGGCTGGGGACTGTATCTGCTGACAAAAGTCATGGGGTGGTCGGTCGAAGAGGCTCAAATATTCTTTGCCAAGTTCAGATCGGGGGTGAAGGAGAGGAAGGTGCATGCGTACTTTGAAGTCGTGGTAATTCACGCGAGGAAATCTTGAGAGAGGGAGAGACGACAATCATTGTGGGATCAGTACTATCATGCGTCATTGAGAGAACAGGATACAGTGCATCATAATAGTGTTGCAAACTGAACTGGTAGCGTCATTATGCGTCGTTAATTAAAGTATTACTTAAAGCCAGGGTATACGCATAGGGAATATCAATCTGAACCAAATACCTCGGCTTCATCTCCGCTCCTTCACGGTGCCTACTTGCGATCAGGAGGTGGAGTGGCTGTGCGGGGTACCTCTCCCGACTTTGGATCGGGAAGATGCGACACACTCGGGAGATCAGCTACCGACGCAGACTGCTCTTCCTCCTTCTCTTTGTTGTCCTTGATGATGAGTGGTTCTTGAGGCGGAGAAGCAGGCGTGATCTTTCCGCTGTCCTTTGTTTTCGCCTTGGACTGATCACCGAAGATAGAGTCGGTCTCCTCGTTGATGGAGGAGGCGCTGCTAATACGTCCAGCTTGGCCGTCTTCAGCAGCGAGGCGCTCCTTCTCGAGGCGGGTCTCGCGACCGCGCTTGTGGCAGTACCAGAATACGAACAGCAGTACTGAATAGAGTCAGCTTGTGTTCCAAACGCGATACAAACATGTTACGTACCGAATACTGCCAAACTCATGATGACATTGGTCCCAGTTGCCAGAGCAGGGAACCTGAACTTCAAGAAGTTCACGATGCTCCTCAGCGCCGTCGCAACAGCACCTTGAGCGGACACCAGCGACTTCAGACTCGGTACTTTGGGCACTTGAGGAAGCATAGACCTCTTGCCCTTGGGCTTGCTGGAAGCCTGTGCATCGAATCCTGGCTTCTCGGACGATGCAGCCATGAGCTCTGGGCCGAGAGTGGCTGTGAGCTTGGCAGGCAAACTCTTGACCAGGTTCTGCAGGAAAGGCGGTAGGTTGCCGTACATCTTCTTGAGTTGGTTGTCGTAATCTGTAAACAACTTCTCGAGGTCGTTGTAGGCTGTCGGTACCCCGTTTATGAGATCTTTTAGAACCTGCGTGAACTTGTTGAGAAGCTCCTCCGACTCTTTACTGAAGCTGAAGACGCGGTTGTTGACAGCTGAAAGGTTGAGTTGATCTAAAATATCCGTCAACTCTTTGTCCTCCTTCTGCGCATCGGTGAGCTCGGCAGCCTTGGCGGATTCGGCGGCAGCGAGCAGGTCGTCTGCAAATTGGGTCCTGTCCTTCTCCGTGACTACGATCTTCTTGTCTTTGGAGCCCTTCTCCCCGTCCTTCTTGGCGAACTTGGGCAGCTGGAAGTAGGACATGACACTCTTCTTCCTACCCAGTCCACCCTCAGCGGCCTTCCCTTTGCCCTTGTCGCTAGCGTCAGCAGTGGTCTCGGGTGGACTCATGGGGAGCGGCACTTTGTCTGCATTGTCCATGAGGGCTGTTTGCGCATCCCTGCCGACCTTCTTCTCGCCATTGTCGTCGACTATTTCGGTACGCTGAGGGAGAGGCGGGGGCGTGCCTTCGGGCTCCGCGGCGATGGCGGCAAGTCGCTCAAGGAATTGCTGGTCTTCGGCGTCAAGGACAGGCTCGCTTCCTACTTCTTCGCTGGCGTTGGCGACAGTTGGTGCTGGTGGAGAGGGGACGGGGCCGCTAGGGCCAGCAGCGGGTTCTTCGATCTTTGGGACGGCAGCATCCTCGACTTTCGGTACGGCGGATTCCGAGACTTTGGGAGGGTCTTCGATGGGAGGGGCGCCGGGTTTCTGTTTTGACTGAGGGAACAGCTGCTTTGACTGGCGGCGCACTTTCTCCAGATAGGATGCCATGTTGGATATGCGCGTCTGCCTTGGGTGTTGGTGGCAGGTACGGATGTGGTGAGAGACGCGTTAGGAGATTGGGCGTTTGTAGGATATATGTCGCACTCTAGATTTGACGTGGAACGCTTGGGGGCGATCTTCAGGCTCGGCGGTGCTCGCTATGTCGTCGTCGGCGCTGTAGAAGCCCTGATTTGATGTCCCGCGTTTACACGTGCTACGTCATGGGCAGGGGTGTCGATCTAGAGCTCGCGCCACGCCACGAGGGGCCACTAGCGCGACTCCTGACTTCTCACACCGTTACGCGTCAAACCTCGCCCCGACAGCACGAAGTTGGAAAGATTCTGGAACACGCCAATTCCTGGTAGGATCTGAATGCAAACTCTCGGCAACCCTCTTCACAGCTTCGGTCGCTGATATCCCGATATCCTCTGCGAGATTAGCCTTCGACGGATCCGCCACTGCAAACAATCGCCATGCATGCCTAAGCATTGCACTCGGAAAGAACTACGTGGATTTGGAAGACGTCGAATACTCATAATCGCTAGATTAGTGTCTGTTGTAGCTGTTTCGATTATGGAACAGCAACCGCGATCACACCATCAATCTCCGTTGGAACTACATTCGGCTCGTGACTTTCCGCTACTATGTAGTGGCATTTCTTCCGCCTTAGCTTTCATTCAGGTTGATGCTGTAGATAAGTTCACCTCTGACCTACTTTCGGTCCACCGATTAGCCAGATCCAATAGGTGTTTAAGAACTGCAGTACAATGGCATATCGTTCACGCGCCGATCATTCCTGGCTTCGAGGTTCCCTCGGAAGATACGCTTGTTTCCGATCGATACGTGGTTTCGCCTGCTTGTCGAATTTCTGAGTATCAGGAGACCGGTCACCCCAGCATATAGCACAGCTCCCAAATCAAGCGACAACGTTAGTCACGCACCGTTAATGAGCGATATTGGGTAAACTTCATCGATGTTGTCGCGGTTATTCACATATTTTGGTTTGCCTCCTGATTACTCTCAAGCTGACCAAATCCGAGCATTCAAGGAGAGCACTTCCATTAGTAACGGGGACCTACACCTCATTCATGTCTTAGATATCAGATATCATATCTTAAAGCTGCATTCTCACCACCGTCCCTCTCTCTTACATATAGGTAGCCCGGAGGACTCGCAATCACGTGCTTTCGTTGACCACGTCTACCGACCGCACTCCTCCCCACCCCCACTATATAAGCAGTATATCACTTCATTCCTCCATCTTTTCTCCACCATCTTAATCGCCTACAATAACTTTGAAGTAAGTCAATCCATTTCTTGTCTGCGCGAATTATCTGCTTTGGGCTCACTGAAGCCTCCGGCCGCACACCGTGCGCAATCGGACTACCCACCTTTACCTTTGGCGCCTACAGTGGGCTAACGTGTTTGTTCTTTTGCAGCCCCGACAGATTACCCCGCGGTGCTTCAGTACACCGAAACGATAAAGCCCGTCACGCAATCAATCACTGTGTCGCGCTTCACAGTACCAACACTACACATATCTCCGCCGTACTCATCACTGTAGTCTGCAACATGGCTAATGACGCCTTCAACTTCTACGGTAAGTACTGTTATGATTATCGTGTCTGCGCATTATCTAACAAGAAACCATAGGCGACGAGTCAGACGACGCGAAGCCCGTTCAGAACAACTTGGACGACTTGAACGACGCAGTCGGCAGTGCTAGTGGTGAGGACGACGACTACATCGAGGACGCTGCTCAAGCAGCTGACGATGTAAGTATACAACTTGCTCATTCTGATATCGCTAACTTGAATAGTCCGACGATGGCGACTTCAAGCTCGATGGCTATGAAGATCTTGGTATCCCAGAAGAAGAGGTCGAGGACGAGGTAGACGACTACGATCCTGAGTACGACGACAACATGACCGGTCAGAAGCGCAAGCGCGTCCGAACCAACAACGCCTCCAAGACCAAGGGTCTTCAGCGGTCCGTCATTGGTGTCCCAACTGGCGACGCTGAAGCTTTCATATTGGATGAAGACAACAGCTTCCTCTACAGCAAGCCTTCGCGCAAGCCCGGTACCTTTGGCCGTCATGACCGTCGCAAGGGCGAGAGTCTTCCAGCTTACCACAAGCGTGTCACTCACGAGTTGGACTCTGATGACGAACTCATGATGACGATGCGTGAGAAGGGCTTCAGTGATCGCCAGATCGCCGACAAGCTTGCCAAGGATGGCCGTGTTCGCTACGACCAGAAGTCCATCTCCACGCGTATCATGCGCATCCGCCTTGCTCAATGTGAGAACGTTGACTTCCTTCTTAAGGAGGGATACAAGGAGTGGGAATACGCTGATGTAAGTGCCTGGTCAAGTGACAACCCCCTTTTTAATTTGGCTAATTTGAACTTTTAGGATGAACGTCTGGTTCAGGCTTACGCACTTGCCGACATCGAGGTCAACTACGAGTTGGAGCGCATTCGCGCCTGGCGCTTCCGCAAAGTCTCCGATTACATGCGTCGCCTGGACAAGAACGCACTCTTTTCTGCCAAGGCCTGCCGTAGCCGTTACAATGAACTTGTCGAAGGCACAGCCCGCATTCCTACCGATATGGATGACGACCCCGACGCCCGCCGCATGGATATGGAAGAGTACCGCATGATGCGTGAGAAGACCCGTATCAAGGAGCAAGCCGACAAGGACGCCCTGGAAGCTGCGGAGGCTAAGATCAAGAACGATGCCAGGGTGCTCAACGCTCAGAAGGCAGAGGAGATCGCCGAGAAGCGCCAGGCCAAAGAGCAAGCAAAGGCTCATCGCGCCATGACCCGTGCAGCCCAAGCTCAGATCCGCCTTGCCCGAGCCAACGCGAATAGGATCTCGAAGACTCAGCGCAACACCCAGATCAAGACCAAGGGCAAAGCCCAGGAAACAAAGAAGAACGAGGACGCCTCTCCGGCCCCGACCAAGACCAAGACTAAGAAAGTAGACCCCAACTACACCGATCCGCGTTCTTACCTCTCCTTCCTTGATCTGAAGAAGATTTGTGAGAGTCGTGGTATTGATCTTCCGCGTAGGGTGGACAAGGACACCCTGCTGCAGGCTATAGTTGATGCTGATGACGAGTACAACCAGAACGAGCTCAAGAAGATGTGTCGCTCCAAGGGCTTGAATGCTAACACCAGTAAGCTGGTGATGAAACGGTCGCTGGCTTTGGCTTCGGCAAAGGCTTGTGACTCGTACGATGCAGGAGTTGCCGCTGCCAATGGCACTGCCATTACTACTGTTGAGAACGACGGTGACGATGAGATGGACATGGAGGAGGAGTAGGTGGGGGCGAGGCGACTTCACGGTATTGAATGTGGAGGAAGGTGGGACTAAAAGTGGTTTGACTCACGTCACGGTGGAATATGCCTGCAGTGCCTGAGCACAGTGGATGGGATGTATCCCTCAGGGTGGGATGAAAAGTGGGAGTCCGCGGCTAGATAAAGATACTTATTCTCCAAGCAATGAGATCATCATGGAACGAACTCTTTCATAAACATTAGACCATGTGAACATCGTGAAACCTCTACCAACACTCCCACTTCTGACCACCCATGGCCACCAGCCGATTGAACAACTCGTCTCTCAAAGGAAGCGCCATTATGCGGTATTCGTTGAGCTGCCTGTCAGTGATGATCAATCCATCAGCGACCTCCCGTCCCATAGCCCATCCAACAACCAACTTCGCCTTCCAGCCAAAGCCACCGACCTTCTTCATCTCCATGATTTCTCCAACCGGTAAACTCCAGGACGGGTGCAGATCCTCTCTATCTGCGCTACCAATTTTCTCGATAGTCTTGTCTGTGGAAAAGGCAATAGATGGAATCGTGGACTTGGTAGCGATGTACACATGTCCTTTCTTGCCATCATGTCGGGCTTTGAATTCGACTGGACCGGATGTGAGATCAACTCCCCTGCGTGGTACAGCACCCAGTCTGTTTTTGGCATGGGTCGAGCCGGCGGCAGCTTTGACTTTGTCGGCTGTCATGGTGGTCTCGACGCCGCCCTTGACGGTGCCGCGGAAGAAGTTGAGGATCTTAGTTCCCTTCTTGCCGTGCTTGCTGTCTTTGGCTTGATCGATATCTTCGCCGCCGGTTTCGTGCGCAGTAGTAGGGTCGTGGGCCATGGCTTCATCAAGTTCTTCTTGGGTTGCGTTGAGTGGCCAGTCGGCACCTGTGGCGCGCAACTCTTCCTCGTTGATATCGACGGGCTTCTCTTCTGGTGCTTGCGCTACGTGAGGCGGTGGTGGCAGTGGGGCTTTATTCGCTTCGCCGAGTCTAAGAAGAGTAACGGTGAGTTGGGCGTTGGTAGGGACACCCTTGAGTAGCGTATTACGGAGCTCGAGCAGCTTTTGCCAGTTGGGAAACTTCTTGTTAAGAAGCGCTAGTCCTCGCTGTATGACAGGGTCACCGAAGAAGCCAAAGCCAGCACCGAAAGTGACACCCTTCATGAACATGTACGATGTTACAAATAGTGACACAAGAACGAGTGGTGCCACTACGACTGCGAGTCGAAGATGAGACCTGTTCTTTGGAAATGGGGGAGTCGGTTCAAGCATACTGTGATCATGTCAGTAATTTCATGTAAACGCCGAGAAACGGTTGCTTACTTCGCGAACCGCTCCCATGTGTCTGTGACATCTGCGATACCGTGCATAATAGGCCTCATTTTCGTCCACATGGCAGTCTCCATGGGAACTTTAGTCTTGTCGTGGTGCTTGCTGGGCTTGGCGCCAGCAGCCTGATCCCTTGCATCCGCAGCACCGATGGCGAGCCTAGTAGGGTCCGGTACACTACTGTCAGGAGAGTCTTCATCTGGAGGCTCTCCCTGTGGGTGCTTGCCAGTCGCGCTCGATAGCGCTATCGACGCAAACCCGTTGACGAAATTCGAGGCCTCTTGCTCAACAGCCTCACCCTTGTGGTTTTCAGGTGCTCCAGTAGCACTGTCTGTACTGCCTAGAGTTCCAGAC